TAGAAAACATTTTAATAGAAAACATCTTTTGAATTGTAATAATCTTTCACAATATTACTGTTTTTACTGTATTTTGGGCAAATAAATGCAGCCTTCTTTCAAAAACAAACAAACAAAAATATTGTACCTTATCTTAACTCATCAAAAATGCATTCGAAAAAATTGGTTGCGAACAGCACTTCATGTTGACCTTAAACGTAGGTTCATGAATTGTTCCATATGAATGATATTTCAAATAAAAACTACAATTGGACAGGCGAAAATATCCTGCAGTGAAGGAGGGAAGGAAAGAAATTCACCACTAGAACCTCAACAGCTTTCGTTTCACCTACAAAACATCACAATTTTCGCAAACGCTGCAATAGACATCAACGAGAGCGTACAAATAAACAATTTATAGGTTTCTTTTTCAGTTTACAAGCTGCAAAAATAGTGTTAAATAAACTGTTTATATGTTTCTTTTTCAGTTTACAAGCTGCAGAAACGGTGGTTTTTCTGTGGTGCAGGAGGAGAAATTAATTGAAATGCTACTCGGAATATGAAAGTGCCACCAAATAGATAAAGCCTGGCACTCACGTCCTGTATGGATGTGTGCCCAGAGAGGGGGACGGCATGGCTCCGATCCAGTACCCATCCCCCAATAAACAGCACACACACACACCCCTTTACACCACAGCCGTACACGCGGCCACATGAGTAAGCAGGTACACACGCTCACACACACATGCGATGGCTCTCTTTAACCCCCTCAAACTACTGTTTACGGCTTTGAAAGCCCAGGGGATGAGCGCTGCGCCTCCCCCTCAACACCTCCCATCTCCATGGCTCTCATCGAGGGCAGAGCTGGGCCGAGTCTGGAGCCCCGTGGCTGCGGAAGCCAAACCCGTGGCCTGTGCCAGATCTCTAGCGTGTGCTGCGGCCAGTGCTGCTGCAGTCTACCTCCGCTACGGACGAGGATTCCTGCACTGATGGACGCGCCAATTAATCTGACACGCCACGGAAGATAACCATACGGCAAAACACCTCCCACCACACGCCATCCAGGACCCTGAGGTCCTTCAGCCAGGCAGGGGGTGAGAGGGACAGACACAAACACACACAGTTTGTGGCTACACTTTACAATAAGGGTTCATTTGCTAACATTTGTTAACTATATTTAAACTAATTATGAAAAATAATTTGAAAGCATTTATTAATCTTAAAATCAAAAGTCGTATCTGTTAATATTATTTAATTGATCTAAGCTAACATGAGGGCCCTATAAAATCTAAAGGCTGGCTTTATTTTTTTTTCCCCCAAAGTCAGTTTCTTTTTCTTTGTTTCCCCTCTCTTCTTTTTATTTTGTTGACTTTTAAAATGTAAATCGAATGCAATAATGATCAATCAAATGAAATTATGAAAAGTGTTTTATTTTTCCCAAAATCAGTTTTCGGTTTCAATTTCTCTGAATTCTGTGTTTTATGATTTAACACAAATTTATTATTAAAACTGTGGTAATCATACGAGTGCATAAAATGTTAACTATTTAATTGATATTTTTAAAATGTAATCAAATGAAATTATGAAATTTGTTTTTTCCCCCAAATTCTGTTTTCAGTTTTCATTTTTTTCTGAATTCTGTATTATGATTTAATACAAATTTATAACCAAAAGAGTGGTGATCATTTGAATGCATAAAACTTTAACAATTTAATTGGTCTTTTAAAATATAAGTCAAATGAAGTTATAATCAATCGATAAAAAAATTATGAAATCTGTTTAATCCCCCCCCCAATTCTGTTTTTCCATTTGAATTTTTCTGAATTTTGTGTTTTATGGTTTCATACAAATGCATTCATGAAAAACAGTGGCAATCATACAAATACATACAACTTTAACAATTTAATTGATCTTTTAAAATGCAATCAAATGAAATTATGATTAAAATATGGACAAAAAATTGGGATATTGTTTTAATAACTGTATTGAAATACATTCTACTGTACAATATATTTCCGTCATAATTTCTTCAAATTAAGCCAAACTTTAGCATTTTAGCAGGTTGTAGTGAAGGCTTTTGAGTTTTAGTTAATGCATTAACACTAACTAGTGGGAACTTATTGTGAATTGTTACCAAGTTTGACATCCTACTTGGTTCAGAAATCATAAATTGGACTTCAGTCAGAATGCATTTCATAATTGTATTTCATTTATTTATTTATTTTGCTATTTTACATTCTAAAAAGATAACAGTTCTAAGAATATAATTTGTATGTAGCTTTGGCCTGTAATAAACTATATAATAATAATAATAATAATAATATTAATAATAAAAATAATGTATTATTATTATTATTACTACTACACAAAAATCATTTATTTATTATTTCATACACTATCATTCTAAAGTTTGGGGTCAGTGCAACTTTTTAAAATAAATTAATACTTTTATTCAGATCTAAGCTAACATGAGGGCCCTATAAAATCTAAAGGCTGGCTTTATTTTTTTTTCCCCCAAAGTCAGTTTCTTTTTCTTTGTTTCCCCTCTCTTCTTTTTATTTTGTTGACTTTTAAAATGTAAATCGAATGCAATAATGATCAATCAAATGAAATTATGAAAAGTGTTTTATTTTTCCCAAAATCAGTTTTCGGTTTCAATTTCTCTGAATTCTGTGTTTTATGATTTAACACAAATTTATTATTAAAACTGTGGTAATCATACGAGTGCATAAAATGTTAACTATTTAATTGATATTTTTAAAATGTAATCAAATGAAATTATGAAATTTGTTTTTTCCCCCAAATTCTGTTTTCAGTTTTCATTTTTTTCTGAATTCTGTATTATGATTTAATACAAATTTATAACCAAAAGAGTGGTGATCATTTGAATGCATAAAACTTTAACAATTTAATTGGTCTTTTAAAATATAAGTCAAATGAAGTTATAATCAATCGATAAAAAAATTATGAAATCTGTTTAATCCCCCCCCCAATTCTGTTTTTCCATTTGAATTTTTCTGAATTTTGTGTTTTATGGTTTCATACAAATGCATTCATGAAAAACAGTGGCAATCATACAAATACATACAACTTTAACAATTTAATTGATCTTTTAAAATGCAATCAAATGAAATTATGATTAAAATATGGACAAAAAATTGGGATATTGTTTTAATAACTGTATTGAAATACATTCTACTGTACAATATATTTCCGTCATAATTTCTTCAAATTAAGCCAAACTTTAGCATTTTAGCAGGTTGTAGTGAAGGCTTTTGAGTTTTAGTTAATGCATTAACACTAACTAGTGGGAACTTATTGTGAATTGTTACCAAGTTTGACATCCTACTTGGTTCAGAAATCATAAATTGGACTTCAGTCAGAATGCATTTCATAATTGTATTTCATTTATTTATTTATTTTGCTATTTTACATTCTAAAAAGATAACAGTTCTAAGAATATAATTTGTATGTAGCTTTGGCCTGTAATAAACTATATAATAATAATAATAATAATAATATTAATAATAAAAATAATGTATTATTATTATTATTACTACTACACAAAAATCATTTATTTATTATTTCATACACTATCATTCTAAAGTTTGGGGTCAGTGCAACTTTTTAAAATAAATTAATACTTTTATTCAGCAAGGACGCATTAAATTGATCAAAAGCGACAGTAAAGACATTTATAATGCTACAAAAGTTTTCTATTTCAAATAAATGCTGTTCTTTTGAACTTTCTATTCATCAAAGAATTATGAAAGAAAAACGTATCACCGTTTCCACAAAAATATTAAGCAGCACAACTGTTTTCATCATTGATAATAAGAAATGTAGCTTTGGCCTGTCGCCTCAAATGACAAAATGAGAATTTTCAGGCAAGACTGATCACTATTCTTCATTAAAAGCACTCAAAATGCCATCAAACTGACCGATCACAATGAAAACGTACTGTAATTATGGCTGATACCAATTGACTTCCCTCTATGATTCTTCAATCGTCACACCTCAATTGGAAAAGAGCTTCCCCACCGCTAATTACGACATGGTAGCGCCCGTTTTGTAAATACGATTGCTCTGCATCTGCACCAGCACCGCCAGGCACTCGGCACCGGCCGGACATTCAGCTGGCGGGCCCCGTGGGCCCCACAGAGGGGGCTGGGAACGGGAAGGAGGGGGTACCAGCTGCCCGGGGAGCGCACATTACGAGATGGAGCCGGAGATAAGTGCTCTCCCAGGCCCCTTTTTCAGCTGCGTAATTAGCACAGTTCTTATCTGCTGCTCAATTCACATTCACACCAGTCATGAATGGAGCACACAGGCTCAGGCAGAGAGGGGGCTCTTTTCTCTCAAACCATCATTTTAGACGAGAATCTTACGTGAATAAATGCCCCGGTTTGTCTTTTCTCTCCTCCACCCTTCTTGGCTTTGAACTCCCTTCGACAAAAACAGTGGTTTGTGCATCAAACTGTAATTTGGTGAAACAAAAGTATCTGGCACCGTAATCAGTGCAATCAGCAAAAACCTGCTGATATTTCTAGATAATTTAGGGCTTTCATTCACGTTTCCCCCCCCATCAGATGTAATTGTGAAAATCTTTAAGTGTGCACATAGATATGTGAAACCTTTAATAATGGGGCTCGCCTTGCGTTTCTTTAATTAGTTTTAATAGGCTAAAACAGACGGTAATGTTTCTCACAGAGGCCTGTATTCAGCAGAAGGCTGTTCGCTTTGTAAGATAACAGTGTGATCGTTGCACAGCTGAATTATATAAACACATTTGTTTTATGTTGCAACACTGTCTGCTGTCCGCAAGCCCACAATAAAGCAGCGCAAGTCATTACGGCGCTGCGCTACCTGCGAGGTTTAACAAAGCACTCCTTTTACGCTTTTATCTCGCTATCTGAGCTTTCTGTAGGCTGTACACAAAAATGTTTGACAATGTTTTGTCAACCGGACGAGCAGTTCAAGCATGATAGGCTGCTGAAAGTCGAAGTCGGAGCGGGCCGTACCTGGCTCTTCGAGGCGGCGACCTTGGCGAACATGGCCTGGGACACTTTGGCCCTCTTCATCTCCTGCTGGATCTCGTCGTAGATGGAGGAGTTGATGTTTAACACGCAGTTCTCCGATTTCCCGTTCCACTCCGAGGTCAGAGGGTTGGGCTTCACCTGAGCAGAGGACAAATCATGCAACAAGTAAAAAGAAAAAAGAAAAAAGTTAGGTAGATGGATAGACTTTTACATTTTTAATAAACTTTCAAACAAGAAGGTTAACAATAATAATAATAATATAAACTATATAAAATAATATATATACACACACACACATATACATATATATATATATATATATATACACATACATATACATACACACACACACACACACACACACATACATACATTATTTCATACACAATTGTTCAAAAGCTTAGGGTCAGTAAGATTTGGATTTATTTATGAAAGAATAGTTTTTTTTTTTCAGCAAGGATGCATTAAAATGATCAAAAGTCTAAATAAAGACATTTATTTAGTTAAAAAAGCTAATACTATAATATTATATAATACATGTTTAATAATAAATTATAATTATAACAAATGATTTTTGAGCAGCAAATAAGCATATTAGAATGATTTCTGAAGGATCATGTGACACTGAAGACTGGAGTAATGATGCTGAAAATTCAGCTTTGCATCACAGAAATAAATTAAATCTGAAAATATATTAAAATATAAAACAGTAATTTTTCATATTTATTTTTATCAAATAAAATGCAGCCTTGGTGAGCAGAAGAAACTTCTTTCAAAAACTTTTGAACTACATATATATGAAATAATAATAAAACAACAAAAATTTTTTATAATAATTATTATTTTTAATATCTAAAAATATGTTACATAATTATTATTATTATTATTATTATTATTATTATACATTACCATTTATTTAATTATTTAATTATTATTTTAGCAAATCTTTTTAATAATATATGTGTACATAGGTTTATAATCAAGGACAAAATCTTGCATCACTTTTTGCATAAACGGTGTACCATATGTGCACTCACAGGAGAGATGCCCACTGGAATTCTGGGATTCCAGTCTTCTGGTCTCACACTGTTGCACTCCTCTCTTCTGGGCTGTGAACACACACACACAAATGTTTAAAACAATAGGTTAAAATAACACTTAATCGGACTGATCAGAATACTCTAGTAACACATGATCAGATTTCAATCACACAGCAGTGATTTCTGCAGCAAAACGACTTGCAAACATGGCTATAACTTTTTTTTTAACATGAAGGGTCTCCAAACTGCCACAGCAGAACCGTTGAAGAGGCTGTCAGCGCAGCGGCACCTACAGCAGTCATTTACATGTGAAGCATCAGTGTCTAGGCCGAGTTATTTTGTGACCATATCTGATTATAAAGGGATGAGCATGCACTAACTTGCACACACTGTCTGGCGATCCATTAACGTATGTGGGAAACATACCTTCACATCCGTTTTTATGACCGCCATAAAAGCCTTGCAGCACTGCAAGACGTGCCACCCTGCTGATTTACAGCAGAAAATATCCTGCGAACATCTCACTCATATCTGTCAGCATCAAGCTGCCATACATCAAAAGACTTCCCTCTACCTGGACCTGCTTTATCAAACATTTTATGCAAAAGAGCCAATGATGGATAAAATGTTATCTGACTGATGGCATGTTCAAAAACAGACAGCAAAGTTAATCTAAACATGCATATAAAAGGCATCAAGTTCAAAAAGTATTTTTAATAATAATATATTTAGATAAAAATATTTAAATAATATATCATATTGAAATAAAATATTAAATATTTTATCTAATATATAATTTATTAAATGCTGAAAAGTACCAATAAAATAACATTAATTATATTAAATTTAAATAAATTAAAATAAAATGTATAATGTTAAAATAAATAAAATACTGAAAAGTACTAACAAAATAATAACATTAATTATATCATAATAAACTAAATAAAAATACAATTTAGAATGTTTAAATAACCCAATATTTGTGCGTGCTAAACATTTTTATGCTTACTAGATGCTTATGCTTTTTGCTGCCTATGTAGAACGTTCCAAATCTGAGGCTCCATTTCAGTTAGGATGCTGCCTATGCACCAAGGAAGCACTAGGTTTTGGAACACAGCCATTATGTGTGTCAAGCAGTGCATCGATATGCTCTTTGATTCAAAATGTCACCAATTTGAACAAATATCATCAGATAATGGAGACTTTTGCCCAGCGTTGTACGAGACTGACGAATTAGGCGCAGTTGCTGAATAATCAGGTTACAGAACCATCTGATAATGGAATCTGAACAGGAAAGCAGCATCTGGTTTGCACACACACACACTAGGACATGATGCACGCAAGCGCACACACAAATGCGTGCACACTTGAGTGAACACTGATGACATTTCGGTCTTTACACATTCTGTGTGTGAGGGAGTTTTTCTCCTGTATAAAAGAGCCTCCTCAGTCCATCACACACAGGAAGGCTTTGTGTCCGATCCACTAAGACACACTCAACTGCGTTTGAAGGAGACTCTGCATACCTTTCTGGCCCTGCTTGAAGAGTTCGGAGATCTAGAATGGCTGAGAGTGAAAGAAACACTTCCTGATATCTTTCCTGCATTCAACATTTCCACCAAAGTACAGATGTATGATGTACTGACACTTTTGCATTGGTAATCGCCAATAACAGTACAGAATTTTAAAAATAGAGGTGGTGCATTTAATATTTGAATAAAAGCGTCTGCTAAATGCATAAAATTTACAATGCCTAAATGTAATGTTTCCAGCTGTTAACACCACTATTAATAAATCAAACACAGGACAAATCAAACTTGTATTACAAGTTTTCTGAAATGTTACGTTTAAATATGCAAAAGAGGCATTATATAATTAGATATGCATTCATTTGCATACAACTCCAGAACAGAAATCTGTACACTGGATAAAGCCAGTTTTAATTCGTTGACATTACAGGTGATAATACAAAAGGGATTTTGGATATTTCAGTTTATCACTTCATAAATCAGAAAATATTGCCAACAGCCAGGAAAAAAAGCATTTTCACCATAGGCATAAAATGTTATGCGTGTACATTTTATGCCTAGAAACATAAATATGAATACAATTGTAAAGTTTGTTAGATGTAAGTGCTACTGAAGTGGAAATGTCTGGCTCAGTTTGAGAAAACAGCCACGTATTGTAATTAAAATGTATAGTCGCAAATAGATTAAATGTATAAACATTTAAAACATATATTTTTGATGTTTTCTTTTCACTAGGCAAAAAGTCATCACATTACAAAAGCAAAATAGACTAAAATCTCAAAATTGACAAGTGCCTGAAAAAAAAAGAAAAGGTTTTGCCAGTATAGTGTCTTGCTTTAAGGCATTGGGAAATGCTTCGTTTAGTCTGTATTATTGCATCTGTACTTAACTGCATGTCAGTCAAGATTTGTAAATACAGAGTTCTAGTTGTGGGGTTGCAATGGTGTGCTTGTGGTTGTGTTAGTATAAACTATCATGTGTGAGCTCCTGACCAACACATTACTATAATACACTGTCATTTAAAGCCGCAGTGCATCATTTCTGGACACACCAAACAGAACTGCAAAAATAATGACCTTTACCAAACAGGTTTTCCCCATCTTCTATTGCTAGTACAATCTTACACTCTGTTCATGCGAGTAAAGCTGCTGTGGAATTTTTTTTATGTATGTTAAAATAGTCATTTTTCCAGCAGTTGGCGGGGGTCCTCAGGAATTTACGCATTACATTCCAGTCTGCGCAAAGCAAATACTCTGACGATGACTGATGAAAAACACCTTAGCTAATCACTCATTATGTGAGTGAGTGAGAGCATGCTAAATATTTGTTCTGAAACTGAGTCTGAGTGTTCAATTCCACCTGCATTTACATAAGTGAGAATACAGAATCTATTTAAATTCAACATGACCCCATTTACTATATTAATGCATGTCTGTGGTCTTACTGTGAATGAATGATCAGTGCATGTTATTCCAAAAAAAAAAAGAAAAAAAAAGGATTTATTCAAAATATTAACAAAATTGCAAAATATAAAGAAGACAGAGAACCTATTTAAGTCTGTTAGATTTATGCATAAAACATTTGCCAACAGAGTAAGGAAAATTAACCTAATTCCAGATATATTCACTGTGTCTTTGATAAGTAAAATGTATCCAAATAAATTAATCTTGTTTCAGATTTTGAATTAAGATTATATTTTCTGTTTTGAGTTAAAGGCAGGGTATGTGATTTTTCAAAAACACTTTAGAAATTTTGGTGATTTCAAATATCAACATTGGCTACCAGAAATCACTTACTCTGCCTTTAATGTTGTAGTAATTTTATGTTAGTGATACTAATATTTATAGTGATACTAATAGTAACACTAATATTTTTATTAGGGTTTATAAAAATATAACTAAGACAGAGAATTTATTTAAATCTGTTAGACTTAAGCATAAAATATAAACATTTGCCAACAGAGTAAGAAAAACTAATCTAACTCAAGATACATTGTTTTTTGTTTTTATAAAATATAAATAAACAAGACACATAACCTATTTAAATCTGTTAGATTTATGCATAAAACAAGAAAAAAAAAAACTTTTGCCAAAAAAGCAAGAAAAATGAACCTAATTCAAGATATATTCTTTCGGTCTTTGATAAATAAAATGTATCCAAATAAATTGATCTCGTTTTAAGGATGCATAGATATTTTAACTGGAAAACAATACAAAAATACAATAAATAAACTATTTTTGCCATGCACCAAAGGTTACAACCCTACAGCACACCTTTTACTCTACAAAGGAGAACTGATCTTTTAGTGCCCATTGGAGTGCGATTTGTGTTACCTGTACAGGGCGTGTGGGAGGGGTGCTGATGAGGGGCGCAGGGCCCATAGCAGAGGCCACAGTCAAGCTGCGCTCCCTCTCGTCCTGGTAGATGCGGTCGCGCTCCGCTTCCGGTAACTGCAGGAAGTTCTGCATCGCTCGCAGGTTGACCAGGAGTGACTGAGACGCTGTCTTGGGGTCTTCCTCTTTTCTAAGAATCTCAGACAGAAGACCCTGGGAGAGACACAGAAATAAACGCATCGTCCTCTTAGCAAAGAGCAACAATTAAAACTTTCTCTCCACTCCATACGCGACAAAGCAATTGACCCGTCGATAAGCCCCGCCCACCTTAGTTACAGCTGTCCCATAGGAATAAATTGGATATTTCTGTTAAAAGTGCTTTTCATTAAAGTAATCTAATGCAGCGCTAAAAATTTAATGTATATTATGACATTACAAAGTCTTTCTTTACAAATAAGTTAAATTATACAGTAATGCGATTAAAACTACAAAGACATCAGAATCAGAAATGCTTCTTAAAGTCACTGAAAAAAGGAAAATCCGATTACAAGTGGACAGAATTGTTCCTAATGTTTCTACAACACATTCATCATGTTTTATAATCATTTTTGTTTACTACTATCCAAATACACAGGATGTTAAAGGGGTCATATGATGCGATTTCAATTTTTCCTTTCTCTTTGGAGTGTTACAAGCTGTTGGTGCATAAAGAAGATCTGTAAAGTTGCAAAGACTAAAGTCTCAAATCCAAAGATATATTCTTTATAAAAGTTAAGAGTCAACCACGCCTACCTAAAACGGCTCGTTCTAACACGCCCCCACATATCTACCTCACTATATGGGAATATTTGCATAACGCCGCCCAAATGTTCACGCAAAGAAAGAAGGTGTAACTTTTATTCTCGCTGTAGTATTGTTGCCGCCATGTCCTGAAGACGTTGTGTGCTTCATTGTGAAAGCGACACTACTTTGTTTGGTCTTCCAAAAGAGGACGATATCCGCTTCGTTATGCCTAGAGCTGATCTGTGCTGGTCGCTGAGGGAATACATCAACTTAGTGCTGTGGATCGCCTGCACATTTTATGGAGGACTGTTTACTGATCCTGGGAGAGTTGACTACAATGCCGGCAGTTCTGACTCAGTCTGTAAGTACGTTTTCATTTAAAGGATTTGCCACTGATGATTCAAACGCGAGTTTTTTGGGCAGTGTAGAGTAGATCTTGTTGTTTGTCATTTCTCCAATCACAAATTCAGACATGGTTTTATGTTTACGCGGCGCAACGTAACGCGTAAAAAGACAGTATAAGTCATTATAATCCTTAATTATGTCCCCACTGGATGCAACAAATGCCTCGTTTGTAATGGGTTTTAATGTTTTTGTCTCGTTGCTCCGGCTGGGACACGGCATCAACTATGGTGAGTGGCGTAACATTTCGGTCTCACGCTTGAGGTATTCGGCCAATCACAACGCACTGGATAGCTGACCAATCACAGCACACCTCGCTTTTTCAGACCGATGAGCTTTGTAAAAATCGACACGTTTCAGAAAGGCGGGGCATAGAGGAGAAACAATAATGTACAGTATGTGGAAAATAATGTGTTTTTTTTTACTTTAAACCGCATAAACACATTTCATTACACCAAATACACAAAATAATGTTCTTTTTAGCAGCATCATATGACCCCTTTAATACAATTTAAATGATTTTATTAGAGAAATTAATACTCAGCAAGGATGCATTAAATTGATCAAAACGTGACGATAAAGACATTTATAATATTACAAAAAATTACAAAAAATAAAATAAAATTCAAAACATGTTACAACAATGCATCACTGTTTCAACATCAATAATAAGAAATGTTTGAACAGCATATTAGAATGACATCTGAAGGATCATGTGACACTGAAGATGATGCTGAAAATTCAGCTTTGAACACAGGAATAAATTACATTTTAAAATATATTCAAATATTTCTAAATGTTAGTGTATCTTTGATCAAATAAATCCAGCCTTTGTGAGCATAAAAAAAAATGTCTTACTGAACCCAAACGTTTTTTTTTTTTTTTACTTTAACAGAAATGTATGTTAGAAAAGAGCAAAAGATAGCCTGAAAATCTGGTAGAAGCCAAAGGCTGCTAAGCTAGGATTGGTCAGTAACACTTTCGATCAAATACTATCAAACACCATCAAGGTTAATGTATAATAAAATGCATAATAAAACCTAAAATTGGGCCACCAAACCCACAAACATTTTGACTATGAGACGCCACAACAAGCAGCCATGATTCACATGTGGGGAAGGATGTACAATAAATATTTAAGGGCTCTGTGGAAACAAAAAAAAAATGCATGTTGCAAATTCTTCCCAGCGCAACTAAAAGGCCAATTTGTGCAAACACGCCTGTCATGACGCGGCTTCCGATTCCTATAGATTCCTATCCTATCGCTCTAACACAACATCAAAGTCACTTCCTGCCAAATGGGGGTTTTATGCAGAACGTCACGAGACATTATCTTCCCGCTGTCTCCAGCAACAGTCGCTCATGTGTGCTGCGGTGACAGTCCGCGGCCGAGCCAGCACCCACCCCCTGCCGCTGGCACACGGCCAGGTACGTCTCTCTTTGTCTCACCTGATGATGGCAGACAGTTGTCAAGGCGGGACTGTACTAATAACAACTAGTGAAACATCCCCACAATGCTGAGTTTTGTCTGACAACTTTCCCAGCATTTGTTAGGGTGTTTGGGTGCTTTCATGAATTGATACAGGGACAAAGTATTGTGATATTTTACTTCACAATATGGTACAGATCTTATCACCATCAAGACTAAGTTTTCACCAGAGTAATTTTAGTATCACTGATATAATATTATAATTAGTGAAAATTTTGATGTAGATTTTTTTTGTATATTTTCTGTTTTCACTTTAAATTTTAATAAAATTGAGAGATTTTGTTGTGTTTTTGGCAATTTTTTAATTAGTTTCTCTTTTTTCTAATACGTCTGTATAGCATTTATTACACTTTAGTTTTTAGCTTTAGTCTTGGTTATTTTAGTATTTTAACTTAAAGGGGTCATGAACTGAGAAATCAAAATTCCCATGATATATAAGAGGTCATTGTACTATAGAAACATCCTGTAAGTTTCAGAACTCAAAACTTTCTCGTTAGACTAAAAACAGCTTATATTGAAGCCAGTCTGCCAAAACGACAGGTTGTGTAATGTGCCACTTTATGAAGTAATAGTGTGGCTAAGCCCTGCCTCCGCAAGAGAAGATCAACGCCTGCTTCTACATCACTGCCTGTTTAGCCCCGCCCACCGATTCTACACCACTGCCCGTTTAGCCCCGCCCACCGATTCTACATCACTGCCTGTTTAGCCCCGCCCACTGATTCATGCATACAGTGTAAATAACGAGAGAGGCAAACGCAGGTCTACACAGAAATCAAACGATAAAGATGCTCAGAAGACAACAACCGCTGTACAGTGCCAAGTTGTGGAAGAACAGAGTCTTTGCATCGCCTTCCTTCTGATCCCAACATTAGGAAAGAGAATCACAATATGGCAAGGGGCGTAACATTTCCGTCACACGCTTGAGGTATTCGGCCAATCAGGTATTTGCTTTTCAGACCGATGAGCTTTGTAAAAATCGACGCGTTTCAGAAAGGCGGGATATATATAATTTTCTAAATATTTTACAGTGAATTCTCAAATACTTTCAAAAGCAAATTTTGCCTGTTGTTGAGGGAAAACCGTAAATCTACACACCTCATTCAATAAGCTGCACAATTTGAGGAATCCTTCATGCACAATAACACAGCACAAGCAGTGAGGAATGAGTTTTTGGTTGGAAAATTTAATAATTTGAATGAACAATAACAATAGTGATGTCTGCCTTAGCCCACACCGCTAATAAGTGTCCTGTCACAGCTCAGGGCTGACAACAGATTGCGTGCAGTGACGAAAAACAAGCTCAAAGCCATGGGCGTGCGAACCAAAAGACGTGAGTCAGTGATCAGTTACTCCTGCCAGGAAGCTGATGATTTGTAAAGTTTTTGATTGAATGATGAGATGCAATATCTGTGAGAAAAATGCTTGCCTGCTTTTAGTCCTGATAACCCTGCATTTACTGGACGATTGGGCACTTTGTGTTGATCCCAAAACAAAAGCAGATAAACCATCTACTTGGCAACTAGCTGAAATAAAATAAATTTGTATACATATTTATAGCTTTTTTTTTTCAAGTAATGAACTTTTTTTAGGGTTTTAGTTTTAGGTAACAGTATTAACCCTGATTTGTGCAATAATATTTTGAGGAAAATGTACAGTGACACTCAATTAATTTGACAAATCCAAACGGAAAATAATTGTGCAAAAGGCTGAAGCGCAATGCAGATAAAAAAAATAAATAAAAATAATTCTATTTTGAAGTAAATTGATTAAAAGTAACAGTAAAGACGTGTACATTGTAACAAAAAAAATCAAATAAAATGCTGCTTTGAACTTTCTATTCATTAAAGAATGTTTAAATAGAAAACAGATATTTTAAATTGAAAAGCTTTCACAACATGAATGTTTTTACTGTATTTTTGCACAAATAAATGCCGTCTTGGCGAGTATCAGAGAATTCTGTAAAAAAAAAATCTGACCCTAATTGTATGACAATTTTTAATAACTAAAAGATAACAACAAGAAAAGCATCATAATATTAACCTATCATAAATTAGATATTGATAAATTATCCCTGATGATTTCCACTCTTAGTAGTTGACTCATATATTGATCAGACAATAATCTGTGGTCATTTTGCCTAGTATCAGTAAAAATAAAAATAAAAAAACATATATATATATATATATATATTGAAAGTCATTTGGGTGGGTTTCAGATTTTTGGTTTCTTGTTAAATCTAAAATTATT